TGATTATAGTTTTTGGAATATTTTACTCTCATAAAAACAATGTTATTATTTAATAATTGTTTTAAAAATAGTGTTATATATGAATATAATATTTTTTTATTAGCAAAATAAATGAGATTTAATTATACATAGTACAAGGACTACTCCAACTCAAATACAAACAGTTAAAATAGTCTAACTAAAACAAAGTATTTCCAGCAAACACGTAAAACAAAATCATTCTAGTCTCACTGCTCATCATGCTCTCCATTTTTATGCTTATGAAATGCCCTCAACATTCTTCTATGCTTCCTTATGGCAACAACACATTCTAGCGGATTAAATTTCCAATCAAATATCAAGAAAACATTGCCAGCCACCTTATTTTTAATCCATAAAAATGTTTTGGAGTGAATCATATCAAGCAAACCGTCCCTACACCCCCTTTGTTTTGGAAAACTCTAATATTCCTCCAATACCAAATATACCAAGACCCAACAAGGAAAAGACAAGCCCCCAGCTCCTTCCCTACCACACCTCCTAACTCATACAAGAAAAACTCCATCACCCCTCCCATTGTATTGGGCATCACAACTTGAATTCCTTACCAAGACATCACTTGAACCCAAATTAGCCAAGCTTCATCACATGTACAAAATAAATTATTAAACTCCTCTTCCTCCTTATCACACAAACCACACATTAAATCTTCTACTGACAAATTAACCCCTCTTTTTTTTAAAATTTCTTTTTGTTAGGAGTCTGTCCAAACATATTCTCCACCCAAAGAAACTAACTTTTGAGGGTACTAATTTACACCAAATTAGCTTACAAATTTGATCAAGAAGAAGGAACTCCATCGGTGTCAGAAACTCATAAGCCTTCCTCACTACATACCTCCCTTCTGCATCATGCATCCACTTCCAACAATCTTCAAGGCCTTCTGTGATTTGTACTCTACTTAGCACCTCCCATAGCACCACATCCTCACCCCTTTCTCGACCCAACCTCCCTCTTCTCCATTCAATATTCCACCATAAACCCCCTTCCCACACCCCCATTTCATAAACCAAACCTTCCTTATGCACAGCTAAGTCAAATAATTTAGGACATAAATCTTGTAAAGATTTATCCCCCACCCAAATCTCATGCCAAAAACCTACTCGCCTTCCATCAGTAACCATCCACCTAAACCCCTTCCCTAACATGTTTTGTAATTTGATAGATTTCCCCCCGATACTAATAACATCCCTTTAAATCCTAGACACCCTCACATTATCCATTGCCTTGATGTCCACCTCCCTCTGACCCCCATAATATTTATCCCACACGACCTATTTCCATGAGCTCTCACCACCATCACCTAACCTAAACCACCACTTCCCTAACAATGCCCAATTCCTCCTCCTTAAATCCATGACTCCTAAGCCACCCTTCTCCTTACTACAACATACCATCTCATAGCTAACCCATGGAATCTTCCTCTTTAATTCAGCCCCACCCCACATAAAATCCCTTTGGATACTAATCAACTTAGACACCACACAATTAGGCATTAAAAATAAAGACATGTAAAAAATAAGTAAGGAAGAGAGTACCGAATTAAGTAAAGTGACGCGACCTCCAAAGGGCAACAAAGCAGATTTCCAGACGGCAAGCTTGGTTTGAAATTTATTTATAATTGGGTCCCACAACTTCTTAGTCCCAGGATTTCCACCCACAAGCATTCCCAACTACACAAAAGGTAGCTCCCCAACACCACATCTCAAAACATTTGTTGCTCCATTTAACCACCTTTATGCCACATTAAATCCGACAATACTACTTTTACAACAATTAATTCGCAATCCAGACATCAACTCACACCACCGTAAAATGGTTTTCATAATAAAAATATTCACACCATTGGCTTTTCCCAAAATCACCATATCATCTGCAAATTGGAGCAATGAAATAGTCAATCCCTTGTTGCCCACTTCGATTCCATGTATCAGTCCCTTTGTCTCAGCTTTTTTGACTAAACCATGTAACCCCTCGGCAATCATCAGAAAGAGAAAAGGAGATAAAGGATGACCTTGCCTTAATCCTTTTCCCATCATAAACTCCTCGGTTGGGCTTCCATTCACTAGAACTGAGATTTTGGTTGTTGAAAGACACTCCTTTATCCATCCTCTCCATCGCAATCCAAAACCAAACATGTTCATCATCCAACCCAGGACAGACCAATCGACACAATCATAAACCTTTTCAAAATCGGCCATAAAAATAAAAGCTTGTTGCTTTCATCTTTTGACCTCTTCAGCAACTTCATTCAAGACTAACACACCATCAACCAAGCAATGACCCCCAATGAAAGCAGACTGAGTATCACTAATTATCTGTGACATTACCACCTTAAGTCTATTCACCAACACCTTTGCTAATAATTTGTAGACACACCCAATTAGGCTAATAGGTCTAAAATCTTTTAATTCCATAGGACTCAACTTTTTAGGAATTAAAGTCAAAAAAGAAGAATTTAGACCCCTTACTAACCTGCCGTGTTGATGAAACTCCCTAAAGAAACTCACAAAATCCTCCTTCAAGCTGTTCCAAGCAAATTTGATAAAATTGAAGTTGTATCCATCCGATCTTGGTGCTTTATTCCCCTCACAACTCTTCAATCCATCTTCAATTTCTTCTACCGAAAATGGTCTTTCTAACCATACCTTCATCTCCTTAGATATCTACTTGAAAATAATACCAGAAGGTTTTGGACAATTCCATGATTCTCCACAAAAGAACTTTTGAAAATAATCAACATCCGCCTTCTTTACCAACTCTAGCTCCTCCACCCATTGTCCATCACATGAAAGCCCTACAATGCCATTACAAGCCTTTCTTCCATTTGCAATTCTATGGAAAAATATGGTATTAGCATCCCCAAATTTTACCCAGTTACTTCTTGACTTCTGCTTCCATAAAGCTTCCCTCTTCCTCATAATGTCCCATATCTCCTAAAAACCCTCATGTCTTTCATGCAACTCATCTTCTTCTAGTGTAAATTCTTCATTCTTCATGTCCACACATTCAACTTTAGCTGCTGCCTTTTCAAAATGAGCCTTTATATCCCTAAATACCCCTTTGTTCCATTCCCACAAAATTTCTTTCAACATCTTCAATTTCTGTTTACATCTATAACCTGCAAACCCATCCACTGCCATCCCATTCCACTTTTCCTCAACCACCCTCTTAAAATCTAGATGCTGTTGCCAAACATCAAGTACCCTAAATGGTTTAGGACCCCAATCTGTTGCTCTGGTTTTCATAACAATCACACAATAATCTGAAATAGTTCTCTTTAAACCCTATTGCACCCATTCTCCACCGATTTCGATCATCTCACTTGTCATCAATACCCTATCCAATGGGCTCTAGATGTGCCATCAGGTCTATACCAAGTGAACCTTCAATTCGCCAATTTATGATCTACCAAACCCACTGCCTTTATAAAATCATTAAAATCCTTCATATCTGGACTCTCCCTTGTTCTACCCCTCTTTACATCAATACAACGAACTGCATTAAAATCCCCTATTATCAGCCATCTTCCTCCCTCATCCATAATCATTTGCCTCAACTCATCCCATAACTCAACTTTTTTTTTCTTTCTATCATTCGAAGCATAAACATCCACAATATAACAAATTTCCTTCTTCACTCCCCAAAGCCCTTTTATTCCTAGATAGCCATCCCCTGTAAACTGTCCTAGCTTACTAAAATTCATCCTATCCCACACACAAAGCAATCCTCTTGAAGCCCCTATAGAACCCTTCACAACCCAGTCAAATCCATTCGAATGCCACACCATTTAAATATATAAAATATATTATAATATTAAATTATATAAAATATTAGTTAAAAATAATTTAATTATAATAAATTAATACTTTTAATTTAGTTATATATATCTAAAAAATGGAAGTGTAAGACTATAACCCAAAACAAAAGACCTAATTTACATAAAACTTATACAGGTTTTAACTCAATTTCACACAACAATAAATTTCTTTCTTACCTACTCCTTATCAACCAAACCCTCCGAAGTATAAAGGCACAATACAATGTTGTTTGTCAGTCTTGTTTTTATTCTTTTTTCCACAGGCGGCTCCCCCAATACATTCGCCCTGTCGAGTCATTACTTGCATTTTCGTCTCATACCTCTTGTCCATTTCTTCTAAACATTAAATTTGGTTCAAGCCTTTGACCAACATAATTAAATTTTAATTCCCACTTAAATTTATGTAATTGATATTTCTCATAATACAACATGCCCAAGGTGTACTTCACATGCTGCTAAATAAAGCCTCATTATTAAGCGTTTCATCCATACATACTCTATTAAATTACTTGAGAAACTTTCTTAAAGGGTAATTTTTTTTTCCCCTTTTGTTAGTTATTCTTTGCATTAATTTGGCGTTAGGGTTCATTAATGGATGCATATGAGAATTATTCCAACCACATCGTGCCATGTACAATGATGATTCCAGCATAAGCCAATTTGACAATTTGACTTTTGAATTCTTTTTTTTTTTTTGGTTGACTTTACATAGTGTTCATGTCCCCTCCCCCCCTCCCCCCTTTTTATGCAACATGTTTTTCCATTTACTGGGTGGAAATATTTCAATCTTTGATAGGAAATTATCCATAAGCATTAATTCATCAAAAAAAAGCATATACCATTGCCAACTCCTACCAGTAAAGAGTTAAGTGTTTGTTTGTTATAACAATTAAAATTCAACAGATATCAAGTAATTATAGTTGGTGACAGTTATCAGATAATAAGTGGTGGATAATGAAAAAAGGATAACAGATTGTAAATAACGGATTTCAATTGATATAACTATTTACTTATATAATGATTAACGATTATTGTTTAACATTAAATCATTAATAAAAATATATTTAAAAGCAATTAAGTTTATTTTTAAAATTTTTATTATTAAAATTATTAATTTTATAAAAATAAAAATAAATAAATAAATCAATTATAATAGTGTAATTACACATCCATATTTATTT